TATGGCAGCCTTTAACATTGAAGTCTATGGCAGCCTTTAACATTGAAGTCTATGGCAGCCTTTAACATTGAAGTCTATGGGAGCCTTTAACATTGAAGTCTATGGGAGCCTTTAACATTGAAGTCTATGGGAGCCTTTAACATTGAAGTCTAAGGGAGCCTTTAACATTGAAGTCTATGGGAGTATTTAACATTGAAGTCTATGGGAGCCTTTAACATTGAAGTCTATGGGAGCCTTTAACATTGAAGTCTATGGGAGCCTTTAACATTGAAGTCTATGGGAGCCTTTAAGATTGAAGTCTATGGCAGCCTTTAACATTGAAGTCTATGGGAGCCTTTAACATTGAAGTCTATGGCAGCCTTTAACATTGAAGTCTATGGGAGTATTTAACATTGAAGTCTATGGGAGTAATTAGCATTGAAGTCTATGGGAGCCTTTAACATTGAAGTCTATGGGAGTATTTAACATTGAAGTCTATGGGAGCCTTTAACATTGAAGTCTATGGAAGTATTTAACATTGAAGTCTATGGGAGTATTTAACATTGAAGTCTATGGGAGCCTTTAACATTGAAGTCTATGAGAGTATTTAATATTGAAGTCTATGGCAGCCTTTAACATTGAAGTCTATGGGAGTATTTAACATTGAAGTCTATGGCAGCCTTTAACATTGAAGTCTATGGGAGCCTTTAACATTGAAGTCTATGGGAGCATTTAACATTGAAGTCTATGGGAGCCTTTAACATTGAAGTCTATGGGAGCCTTTAACATTGAAGTCTATGGCAGCCTTTAACATTGAAGTCTATGGCAGCCTTTAACATTGAAGTCTATGGGAGCCTTTAACATTGAAGTCTATGGGAGCCTTTAACATTGAAGTCTATGGGAGCCTTTAACATTGAAGTCTAAGGGAGCCTTTAACATTGAAGTCTATGGGAGTATTTAACATTGAAGTCTATGGGAGCCTTTAACATTGAAGTCTATGGGAGTATTTAACATTGAAGTCTATGGGAGTAATTAGCATTGAAGTCTATGGGAGCCTTTAACATTGAAGTCTATGGCAGCCTTTAATATTGAAGTCTATGGGAGCCTTTAACATTGAAGTCTATGGGAGCCTTGAACATTGAAGTCTATGGGAGCCTTTAACATTGAAGTCTATGGGAGCCTTTAACATTGAAGTCTATGGGAGCCTTTAACATTGAAGTCTATGGGAGCCTTTAACATTGAAGTCTATGGGAGCCTTTAACATTGAAGTCTATGGGAGCCTTTAACATTGAAGTCTATGGGAGCCTTTAACATTGAAGTCTATGGCAGCCTTTAACATTGAAGTCTATGGCAGCCTTTAACATTGAAGTCTATGGCAGCCTTTAACATTGAAGTCTATGGGAGCCTTTAACATTGAAGTCTATGGGAGCCTTTAACATTGAAGTCTAAGGGAGCCTTTAACATTGAAGTCTATGGGAGTATTTAACATTGAAGTCTATGGGAGCCTTTAACATTGAAGTCTATGGGAGTATTTAACATTGAAGTCTATGGGAGTAATTAGCATTGAAGTCTATGGGAGCCTTTAACATTGAAGTCTATGGGAGTATTTAACATTGAAGTCTATGGGAGCCTTTAACTCGAAGTAATCTAAATTCGTGATGTTGATTCTAAATGTGGAGCGAAAAACCGGAAGACCCGGAGAAAAATCCACGCGACCACCACGGGGAGAGAGAGAGCCGCAAACTCCAAATATAGCCGACGTCAGCGTCGGGATCAAAGCGACAACCTCCTGTATACCAGGCGAGGTAGTGAACATCCCCTAGCCACCGTGGTGCCCACATAATTACCATTAAGTTCATGATAAAAAAAATAATTAAGTAAGATAATTAATACAAGCACTGATACAAATACAACTGTCCATCTCTGGCGCTAAGTGAGGATCTCATGAGGACAAGTGATACGGCTTCTTGGCTTGTAGAATGTCCGTCGACATCCGCCTGGGCTAATCGGCGTGTCCAGAGCTGTGGCATCTGGTGGGCAATGCGACCTCACGGCTGCGGCCCAGACTCTGCTGGCGAGTCTGAAGATATTTGTTTACGCTACACGACGCTTCTATTGTTTGCGTCAGTGTTTTATTTACTTGAATACTCTACAGTATCACATTTTTTTTCAATGTAAATTGTCTTTGTTTACAATGTGAATGGTGAATTAAGTGTTTGCAGTGTTAAATGGTAAGTTATGAAGTGTTTCTCGTGTCAAATTGTAAGTTATGAAGTGTTTCTCGTGTCAAATGGTAAGTTATGAAGTATTTGTAGTGTTAAATGGTAAGTTACTAAGTGTATGTAGTGTTAAATGGTAAGTTATGAAGTGTTTGTAGTGTTAAATGGTAAGTTACGAAGTGTTTGTAGTGTTAAATGGTAAGTTACGAAGTGTTTGTAGTGTTAAATGCTAAGTTACGAAGTGTTTGTAGTGTTAAATGGTAAGTTACAAAGTGTTTGTAGTGTTAAATGGTAAGTTACAAAGTGTTTGTAGTGTTAAATGGTAAGTTACGAAGTGTTTGTAGTGTTAAATGGTAAGTTACTAAGTGTTTGCAGTGTTAAATGGTAAGTTATGAAGTGTTTCTCGTGTCAAATGCTAAGTTACTAAGTGTTTGTAGTGTTAAATGGTAAGTTATGAAGTGTTTGTAGTGTTAAATGGTAAGTTACTAAGTGTTTGTAGTGTCACATGGTAAGTTATGAAGTGTTTGTAGTGTTAAATGGTAAGTTACAAAGTGTTTGTAGTGTTAAATGGTGAGTTATGAAGTGTTTGTAGTGTCAAATGGTAAGTTACAAAGTGTTTGTAGTGTTAAATGGTGAGTTATGAAGTGTTTCACGTGTCAAATGGTAAGTTATGGAGTGTTTGCAGTGTTAAATGGTAAGTTATGAAGTGTTTCTTGTGTCAAATGGTAAGTTATGAAGTGTTTGTAGTGTTAAATGGTAAGTTACGAAGTGTTTGTAGTGTTAAATGGTAAGTTATGAAGTGTTTGTAGTGTTAAATGGTGAGTTATGAAGTGTTTGTAGTGTTAAATGGTGAGTTATGAAGTGTTTGTAGTGTTAAATGGTAAGATATTAAGTGTTTGTAGTGTTAAATGCTAAGTTACGAAGTGTTTGTAGTGTTAAATGGTAAGTTATGAAGTGTTTGTAGTGTTAAATGGTGAGTTATGAAGTGTTTGTAGCGTTAAATGGTAAGTTATGAAGTGTTTGTAGTGTTAAATGGTAAGTTACAAAGTGTTTGTAGTGTTAAATGGTAAGTTATGAAGTGTTTGTAGTGTTAAATGGTAAGTTACAAAGTGTTTGTAGTGTTAAATGGTAAGTTATGAAGTGTTTGTAGTGTTAAATGGTAAGTTATGAAGTGTTTGTAGTGTTAAATGGTAAGTTACAAAGTGTTTGTAGTGTTAAATGGTAAGTTACAAAGTGTTTGTAGTGTTAAATGGTAAGTTATGAAGTGTTTGTAGTGTTAAATGGTGAGTTATGAAGTGTTTGTAGTGTTAAATGGTGAGTTATGAAGTGTTTGTAGTGTTAAATGGTAAGATATTAAGTGTTTGTAGTGTTAAATGCTAAGTTATGAAGTGTTTGTAGTGGTAAATGGTAAGTTATGAAGTGTTTGTAGTGTTAAATGGTGAGTTATGAAGTGTTTGTAGTGTTAAATGGTAAGTTATGAAGTGTTTGTAGTGTTAAATGGTAAGTTACAAAGTGTTTGTAGTGTTAAATGGTAAGTTATGAAGTGTTTGTAGTGTTAAATGGTAAGTTACAAAGTGTTTGTAGTGTTAAATGGTAAGTTATGAAGTGTTTGTAGTGTTAAATGGTAAGTTATGAAGTGTTTGTAGTGTTAAATGGTAAGTTACGAAGTGTTTGTAGTGTTAAATGGTGAGTTATGAAGTGTTTGTAGTGTTAAATGGTAAGTTATGAAGTGTTTGTAGTGTTAAATGGTAAGTTATGAAGTGTTTGTAGTGTTAAATGGTAAGTTACAAAGTGTTTGTAGTGTTAAATGGTAAGTTATGAAGTGTTTGTAGTGTTAAATGGTAAGTTACAAAGTGTTTGTAGTGTTAAATGGTAAGTTATGAAGTGTTTGTAGTGTTAAATGGTAAGTTATTAAGTGTTTCTCGTGACAAATGGTAAGTTATGAAGTGTTTGTAGTGTCGAATGGTAAGTTATGAAGTGTTTGTAGTGTTAAATGGTAAGTTATAAGTGTTTGTAGTGTTAAATGGTAAGTTACGAAGTGTTTGTAGTGTTAAATGGTAAGTTACGAAGTGTTTGTAGTGTTAAATGCTAAGTTACGAAGTGTATGTAGTGTTAAATGGTAAGTTACAAAGTGTTTGTAGTGTTAAATGGTAAGTTATGAAGTGTTTGTAGTGTTAAATGGTAAGTTAGGAAGTGTTTGTAGTGTTAAATGGTAAGTTAGGAAGTGTTTGTAGTGTTAAATGGTGAGTTATGAAGTGTTTGTAGTGTTAAATGGTAAGTTATGAAGTGTTTGTAGTGTTAAATGGTGAGTTATGAAGTGTTTGTAGTGTTAAATGGTAAGTTATGAAGTGTCTGTAGTGTTAAATGGTAAGTTACGAAGGCTGGCGACGGCAGCATCAGTGCTGCAAGAAGTTATTCACCATACAAAGCTTTGATATACAAACGAAGCTCCAACACCTCGACTTCGTAGTCGAGGTGTTGCTGTCATAATAATATTAATCATCTTAACGGTCTAGCCAAGGGGCACCCCCAGCGGGCAGCTGTCCCTGTGCATCAGTCTGCTGCCAGTAGGTGGCGATGATGATGGTGATGATGATGGTGATGATGATGGTGTTGGTGCAGCATGATGATGGTGATGGTGCTGGCGATGATGGCGATAGTGATGACGATGGTGGTGGTGATGATGATGGTGATGATGGCGGTGGTGGTGATAGTGATGTTGGTGATGATGGTGGTGATGGTGATGATGGTGGTGATGGTGGTGATGGTGCTGAGTGGCTGTGCCGGGCTTACGGTCCGCACCTCGGTGAGCTCCACGGTGCCTCTGCCTGAGGCCCGGGGGAGGCTCCGCCACTCCGCGTCTGCGCCCCTGCCCACACACAAAGATAAAGGTACCCCACCGCCATGTAGCCTCGCCGAGACTGTTGGGCCAAGAGCTGCTGGGGGCAGCAACCCGCACCGATGATGAAATGTACTTAATTAAAATTCTTACTGAGATGCCTCTGACTGACGTATTGTGTTTATGCCACCGTGGAAAAGCGAGTTTTCAAATCAGAATCTGCGTAAAGACTCTTCACAAACTAAACTATTTTATTTTGTATGTTACCAGCCTAAAGCCCACTGAGCTGTGAAGATCTTTTTCAGAAGCGACCTGGCCACAAATGATAGTGCAACGAAGTGGCTGGGGTGCTGAGGAGGTGAGTGGCTGGGTGAGTGGCTGGGTGGGTGAGTGGCTGGGTGGGTGAGTGGCTGGGTGGGTGAGTGGCTGGGTGGGTGAGTGGCTGGGTGGGTGAGTGGCTGGGTGGGTGAGTGGCTGGGTGGGTGAGTGAGTGGGTGGGTGAGTGGCTGGGTGGGTGAGTGGGTGAGTGGCTGGGTGGGTGAGTGACTGGGTGGGTGAGTGGCTGGGTGGATGTGTGGCTGGGTGGGTGAGCGGGCGGGTGGGTGAGTGGCTGGGTGGGTGGTCGAGTGGGTGAGTGGCTGGGTGGGTGAGTGGCTGGGTGGGTGAGTGGGTGGGTGGGTGAGCGGGTGGGTGGGTGGGCGAGTGGGTGGGTGAGTGGCTGGGTGGGTGAGTGGCTGGGTGGGTGAGTGGGTGGGTGGGTGAGTGGGTGGGTGGGTGAGCGGTTGGGTGGGTGGGCGAGTGGGTGGGTGAGTGGGTGGGGTGCTGAGTAGGTAAGTGGGTGGGTGAGTGGCTGGGGTGGAGCGGTGGTGCAGCGGTTAGCGCTACACTACGAACCCGGCGACCCAAATTCGATTCCCGCTCACGGCCAACACCAGTTACTTGAATCGGTACTGGGCCTCCCCTAGATCCACTCAGCCTCAAATGAGTACATGGTGTGTAAACATCACCAATGTTACTTTATTTTACGTTTTTTTGTTTACTAGACAGGTAGCCTTCATGCCGAGGAGTTCAGGACGGGACTGAAGACGCTTGTGACAATAGCCCACAGGACTGGCGATGAATGCGCGCGTACCGGTGTCTTAGCTGCGCCAGGATTCACTGAACCGCAGATTGTGGCATGGCTGCCGCCGTTGGTAATAAAACCGGTGGCCCGCCAAGCGTCTTACCGGGCCGCACCGGCTTCAGGTCACGGTTGATCGGTGGAGGAGACAGAGACATGGACGGTGGCTTCCACAGAGACATCATCCCTGGGACCAGATCCACCATGGCTATGCGGAGACACGGGCACACACAGAGACACGGTCAGACACAGAGACACGGTCAGACACAGAGACACGGTCAGACACAGAGACGCGGTCAGACACAGAGACATGGACGGTGGCTTTCACAGAGACATCATCCCTGGGACCAGATCCACCATGGCTATGCGGAGACACGGGCATACACAGAGACACGGTCAGACACAGAGACACGGGCACACACAGAGACACGGTCAGACACAGAGACACGGTCAGACACAGAGACACGGGCACACTTAGAGACACGGTCAAACATAGAGACACGGTCAGACACAGAGACACGGGCACACACAGAGACACGGTCAGACACAGAGACACGGGCACACTTAGAGACACGGTTCACACACAGAGACATGGGCACACACAGAGACACGGTCAGACACAGAGACATGGGCACACGTAGAGACACGGTCAGACATAGAGACACGGGCACACACAGAGACACGGTCAGACATAGGGACACGGGCACACACAGAGACACGGTCAGACACAGAGACATGGGCACACTTAGAGACACGGTCAGACATAGGGACACGGGAATACGTAGAGACACGAGCACACACAGAGACATGGGCACACACAGAGACACGGTCAGAGACACGGTCAGATACAGAGACATGGGCACACACAGAGACACGGTCAGACACAGAGACATGGGCACACTTAGAGACACGGTCAGACATAGGGACACGGGAACACGTAGAGACACGGTCAGATATAGAGACATGGGCACACACAGAGACAAGGTCAGACACAGAGACATGGGCACACTTAGAGACACGGTCAGAAATAGGGACACGGGAACACGTAGAGACACGGTCAGACATAGGGACACAGGAACACGTAGAGACATGGGCACACTTAGAGACACGGGCACACACAGAGACACGGTCAGACACAGAGACATGGGCACACACAGAGACACGGTCAGATATAGAGGTACGGTAAGATACAGAGACACGAGCACACACACAGACACGGTCAGAGACACAGGCGCAACACAGTGACACAGAAACATGCAGAGACACGGGTACACGCAGAGACATCGTCACACACATAGGCATGGTCACACGCAGAGATGCAGGCACAAACATAGATAGGGTCACACACAGAGGCATGTAGATCTACCCAGGCCTGCCCACCATCACGAAGGCCTTTAATGATCGTGAGCAGAGAGTCAGGGACTCTGAAAGTGAGAAGAACAACCCAGAGCCCAGGCCTATTGATGGTATCATAGGCCTTGACCAGGTCAATAAAGCAGACATGTAGGTCATGTTGGAATTTTCTATACCTCTGCTGTAGCAGACAAACAGAGAATATGGCGTCTGCCCGGGCCTGAAACTACATTGGAGCTCCGCAAGCCTTTCCTCAGCGTGCCTGGCAAGGCAATGTTGAATAATCTTTGCCAGGACATTTCCAGGTCCAATGAGGAGGGTGATGCCTCAGTGATTGTTAAGAATCTGCACGGTGCAGCTTCTTCAAGAGGGGGACCACCAGGGCATTCTTCCAACCTTAAAGAACCAGTTCAGTAGTCCAGGAAGTTGTAAAGATGTCATATAGGGCAGTCTGCACACAAATGCCACCCTCCCTCAGTAGTTCGCTTTGGTCGTCATCTCTGCCCGGTGTTTTTCCTGGTCACAGACTGGATCACCGTTCGTACTTCCTCAACAGATGGCATCTCAGTAAGCCGCCCACAGGGGGTTACTTCTTCTTACAATGTTTGAGGCACCGCAGGCTCAGCAGGGTCATCCCCACTTTGCCCCACGATGTTTTCTGAGCTGAGGAATTTCCCCTCCCTCAAGACCTCACAGAAGTGCACGGCAAATCTGCAAACCTGTTCCTGGGGGTCGGAGATCAGATCACCATTATTTCCCCTAAAGATGATGATAGCTGTGGCACTACAAGTAACTTTTTTTATGGAATTAAAGAGTGATTTGTAATCGTGGGCTACTGATGCAGATTTCATCTCCTCAGCAACCCGTCACTACCACTCATCCTTGCAGCATGGCATGGCTCTCCGAACCTCCGAGCGAAGGCTATGATAAGCCTCCTCATTCTCCGACATGGAATGCTGCAGACAGAGGGAGTGGAGCTACAAGAGATGTTGAAATTCCTGCTTGCAACTATCATGACTTAACTGAGACCAGGCCGCTGTGGGTTTGAATGGAGTTCTAGATGGACACCCACCACCGGAGTGGAAGAGTGGCAGGCGCATCTTACAGATGACAAGCAGATGGTCAGTGGGCAGATCAGCTCCACGGTAGGTCCTGGTGACAAGGACATGGGCCCGCATCTGCTGTTCCATCACTATATAGTCCAGCAGAAGTTTTTCCTTGGAGCCGGCATGCATCCAAGATGTTGTGTGGATGCACTGATGCTGGAAAAACCATGGGCTGCAGAGGAGTCTAGCAGCCCCCTACCGATATTATTGAGCTGATCCGGTCCGTGCATTCCAATAACTCCGGCCCAGGTGCCTGCATCATGACCCACTCGGGCATTAAAGTCACCCAACAGGATGACTCTATCCCGAGGGGGCCATTTTAGCCAACGCCTGGGACAGGAAGTCATAAAAGGCATCTGACTCTTCGGCCTTGCCTGCATCCCTCCACTTATGTTCATCTTTGGTGGGGGCGTAAGCCACCACCACCATCATTCCTCGCCTCCCGTTGGTGGGGAGGCGAACCCACATTAGCCTGGGACTCACAGCTTCCCACACCTCACTGCCATGCTCCCATTCTGCCTTCAGAGCCACTCCCTGTTGTTTGGCAGTTTCCTGCCCCTAGTAGAAGACTGTCCACCCATCATATTGACTGGAGCCAGAACCAGTCCACCGGACCTCCTGAATACAAGCGGTACTCATTCAACTCCCGACAGAGGAGCTGGTACCCCCTCCCCCATAGCAAGCATTCGAACATTCTATGTGGCCATTCGCAGGGGAGGCCCAGGAATGTTTCAACTAATCGTGACTGGTCAAGAGCGGGAATTGAACTCGGATCGCCGGTTTCGTAGCACAGCACGCTGACCGTTACACTACCGCTCCCCACCGGATACACACACATAGTAACACACAGATACACACACACACAGTGTCACATACAGAGACACACATACAGAGACACACACACACATAGTAACATACAGATACACACACACAGTGTCACATACAGAGACACACATACAGAGACACACACACACATAGTCACACACAGATACACACACAGTGTCACATACAGAGACACACATAGAGAGACACACACACACATAGTCCCACACAGAGACACACACACAGTGTCACATACAGAGACACACATACAGAGACACACACACACATAGTCACACGCAGATACACACACAGTGTCACATACAGAGACACACATACAGAGACACACACACACATAGTCCCACACAGAGACACACACACAGTGTCACATACAGAGACACACACACACAGTCACACACAGATACACACACACAGTGTCACATACAGAGACACACATACAGAGACACACACACACACACATAGTCCCATACAGAGACACAACAACAACAACAACAACCGCCATTCGCCACTAAGTGGCGGTGACGTCACCACGACACTTGTGCCAGGCTATGTGCAACCTGAGGCCACGTGAAGTGTCGAACGCCCGCTGGCAGGAGGTTACGGGGCAGACCCAGGTGCCACGGGTCGACTGACTGAGATGACTGGCTGATGCACCACCTGTGCCCCCTACTGTGCCAACCTGCTGTGCTTTAGCCACCCGGCGCTCCGCTCGTTGTTCTGAGCGTCGCTCCTCCACCCTCCGTTGATGTTGGAGGGTGACTACCTCCAACTGCCCAGTAGCGTCCTTCACGAGCCTCCTCCACAGAGGCCGATCTTGACACCGCTGGTACCAGTCATCGGCAAGTCCACTCAGCTCCACGTCCTCCTGTACCACATCACTCCATCTCTTCTCTAGCCCGTGCCGCGCCTGCCTAGCCCCCTCAATCCGGCCGAACAAAGGCTGTTTCGGCATGCGGTGGCTGGGCATGTGGGCGACATGACCCAGCCATCGCAGCCTTCCCCGCTGGAGGAGCTCACCGATGGACCTTGCCCAGATCTTTCAAGGATTTGTGAGCTCCTCACACAATCCAGTCTGGTTAAACCCAGGATGGATCGTAGGCAGGCCAGCCTAAATGTTTATAACCGGCGAAGATGTTCCATTAGGGGGTCCACGTTTCGCAAGCGTAGAGAAGGGAGGGAATGACCATGGCCGAGAAGACCTGAAGCTTAGTGCGGAGCAACACACCAGGTAGCTTCCACACAGCGTTACGCAACCGATGAAAAGATATTGCCGCTCGACTGATTCGGAGTGAGCCCTCTGCTGTTAAACTGGAGCCAGTCAATCACACACACACAGTGTCACACACACAGAAACACACACACAGTGTCACACACACAGTCACACACACAGTGTCACACACACAGTCACACACACACAGTGTCACACACACAGAAACACACACACAGTGTCACACACACAGAAACACACACACAGTGTCACACACACAGAAACACACACACAGTGTCCCACACACAGAAACACACACAGAGACACACACACAGTCACACACACACAGTGTCACACACACAGAAACACACACAGTGTCACAAAGACAAAGATCCCCCATATAGCCTTAACAGACTGTAGGGGCAAGTGCTGTTAGCGAGCACCTATGAAGGCCGGAACGGTACACGAGGGGGTGGGTGGCCAGCACCACGCCCGACCGCCTTTGTCTCCCTAGTGGCAATGTTTACACACGCACCAGGTACTCATTTGAGGCTGAGTCAACCTAGGGGAGGCCCGGGACCGGTTCAGATAATCGTCACTGGTGTTGGCCGTGAGCGGGAATCGAACCCGGGTCGCCAGGTTCATAGCGCAGCGCGCTAACCGCTACACTATCGCTCCCCATACACACACACAGTGTCACACACACAGAAACACACACACAGTGTCACACACACAGAAACACACACAGTGTCACACACACAGAAACACACAGTGTCACACACACAGTCACACACACAGTGTCACACACACAGTGTCACACACACAGAAACAGACAACAACAACAACAACAACCGCCATTCGCCACTAAGTGGCGGTGACGTCACCACGACGCTTGTGCCAGGCTATGTGCACCCTGAGGCCACGTGAAGTGTCGAACGCCCGCTGGCAGGAGGTCACGGGGCAGACCCAGGTGCCACGGGTCGACTGACTGAGATGACTGAGATGACTGGCTGATGCACCACCTGTGCCCTCTACTGTGCCAACCTGCTGTGCTTTAGCCACCCGGCGCTCCGCTCGCTGTTGTGAGCGTCGCTCCTCCGCCCTCCGTTGTTGTTGGAGGGCGACTGCCTCCAACTGCCCAGTAGCATCCTTCACGAGCCTCCTCCACAGAGGCCGATCTTGACACCGCTGGTACCAGTCATCGGCAAGTCCACTCAGCTCCACGTCCTCCCGTACCACATCACTCCATCTCTTCTCTAGCCCGTGCCGCGCCCGCTTAGCCCCCTCAATCCGGCCAAACAAAAGCTGTTTCGGCATGCGGTGGCTGGGCATGCGGGCTACATGACCCAGCCATCGCAGCCTTGCCTGCCGGAGGAGCTCACCGATGGGACCCTGCCCAGATCTTTCAAGGATTTGTGAGCTCCTCACACAATCTAGTCTGGTTAAACCCAGGATGGATCGTAGGCAGGTCAGCCTAAATGTTTCTAACCGGCGAAGATGTTCCATTAGGGGGGTCCACGTTTCGCAAGCGTAGAGAAGGGAGGGAATGATCGTGGCCGAGAAGACCTGAAGCTTAGTGCGGAGCGACAGACCAGGTAGCTTCCACACAGCGTTACGCAACCGATGAAAAGATATTGCCGCTCGACTGATTCGGAGTGAGACCTCTGCTGTTAAACTGGAGCCAGTCATAAGCACACTGCCCAGGTATGGGAAACTCTCCACTCTCTCCACAACTGCCCCATCACCGATTGGGAGTTGTGGGGGTGGAGTGTCCGATGGTACAAAATACCCAGGCAGGTGCTTAGTTTTGGTGGGGCTGATGGTAAGGCCCCACCTCTTAGTGGCACGCTCCAGTCTCAGCAGCAGCGTCTCACACACACAGAAACACACACACAGTGTCACACACACAGAAACACACAGTGTCACACACACAGAAACAGACACACAGTGTCACACACACAGAAACAGACACACAGTGTCACACACACAGTGTCACAAAGACAAAGATCCCCCATATAGCCTTAACAGACTGTAGGGGCAAGTGCTGTTAGCGAGCACCTATGAAGGCCGGAACAGTACACGAGGGGGTGGGTGGCCAGCACCACGCCCGACCGCCTTTGTCTCCCTAGTGGCAATGTTTACACACCGCACCAGGTACTCATTTGAGGCTGAGTCGACCTAGGGAAGGCCCGGGACCGGTTCAGATAATCGTCACTGGTGTTGGCCGTGAGCGGGAATCGAACCCGGGTCGCCAGGTTCATAGCGCAGCGCGCTAACCGCTACACTACCGCTCCTCACACACACAGTGTCACACACACAGTGTCACACACACAGAAACACACACACAGTGTCACACACACAGAAACACACACAGTGCTACACACACAGTCACACACACAGTGTCACACACACACACACAGAAACAGACACACAGTGTCACACACACAGAAACACAGACACAGTGTCACACACACAGTAACACACACAGTGTCACACGCACAGTCACACACACACAGTGTCACACACACAATCACACACACACAGTGTCACACACACAGAAACACACACAGAAACACACACAGAGACAAAGACAGAGACAAAGAGACAGACCCACAGAGTCACACACATACAGATACAAAGACCCACACACACAGACACAGAGTCCCACTGTGAGACCGAACGCACCGCACCCACCCAGCTGCTGCTGCTGCTGCTGCGGGGGGAGCCGCTCCCCGTGGAGGTGGAGCGGCTGGGGGCCCCCAGCCGGGATCCAGGGGGTGGGGGGTGCCCCCCGGCACATGGGGACGTAGTCATTGCCCCTCATGAAGACGTAGCTGCCCCCCACCTCGTCAGCCACCTCCTCTGGGCCCTGCAACGGATTTATCGTCGCCATCAACGTTGGATGGCAGAGCTTGGGCAATGTTTTTTTTTCCTTCCCATGGGGCTTGTGCAATTAAATGTCTATTTAACACGTCGGCTTTAGCGACAACATATGATCAATAATAGAGGTTTTTTTGGCTGGTTGTAATTACCGGCAAAACGTCACGGCTACTGGAATGGTAAATGTAGTGGGTTCACTCTCCAACACACCGGTTAGTGCTGAACTAGTAACGAATTGGCACGTTTTGATTACGTGACAAACCCTTTACTAATTAGGCGATGGAATATTCATGCGATCTAACCCAAAAACCTCTTGTGAATTCATTGTCGAGTTCGGAGATACGAACACATCCAGGCTCTCGGGAACATAACTCGTTCGTAAGTCGATGACTGTTTGTGTTACACACAAATGTATATTCTTGGTTCTTTCGGTAAAGTCACGTAGAAGGGAAACAATTAAATAATAAAAATATAAAACAATAAAATTCTCACGACGTTTCTACTGCAACACAAGCAATCATCATCAGGTGTGAAAACCACAACAAGAAAATTTGAAAAAAGTGGCGTTTTTTTTAACGTTAGCACCACGGAGAGCGATTTGACAGTTTGTTCAGATGGACGAGTCCATCTATGTTCGGAAAAAAGGAGGGGGGAGACGAAAAATAATGGATGCGGTCTGAAAGCCACCGTAAGCGTGATCAATCAATTAAGACCCGAAATGGTTGATCAAATCCTTCCAATGATTGCTAAGCCAGAATCCATCTTCTCGGTTGAAATTGTCTCTGTGTTTGTATATGTGGATAGCCTTATTATTTTATTGTTTCCCTTCTTCGTGACTTTACCGAGAGAACCAAGAATATGAATCCCTGCAGTCACGAAAGCTTCAAATCAAAACACAAATGTATGTTCCTTCTTATTTATGAGTTTAATAACAGCGCTTCCCTTTTACATTGAACTGTAACACGTTGGACAATGCTGACCATACGTACAATTATACAGCGAGCTGGGAGACACGAACAAATACAACTTACAAACGGCTAGTTTAACACGTAAACTTTTGCGACCAACATTATGCATAATGGAGGTTTTGGGGTTAAATCGCGTAAATATACATGTGTGTTGCTTAGCCCACCACCACCACCACCCCACACAGGCAATTATTAAGAGCTTTGTCACGTAAACAAAACGTGCCAATTCGAACGGCTCTTTGGGAACGTAACTCGTTCGTAAGTCGAGGACTGTCCATAGAAATAAGATGGTGGCGTGGGGTGGGGTGGTGTAGGGTGGTGTGAGGTCTTACCGTGTTCTCGAGGGTCGTGCCCCCCACTAGCGAGGGTGGCGAGGAGAGGGGAGCGACGCGCGGCTGTGTGGGCATTGACATGGTCCTGGGGGTGAGGTACGTAGGATCGTCACCCTCGCTTCCCCCCTACACAAGCACACAGACACAGATAGTCAACAACAACAACCGCCACTCGCCACTAAGTGGCGGTGACGTCACCACGACGCTTGTGCCAGGCCATGTGCACCTTGAGGCCACGTGAAGTGTCGAACGCCCGCTGGCAGGGGGTCACGGGGCAGACCCAGGTGCCACGGGTCGACTGACTGAGATGACAGAGATGACTGGCTGATGCACCACCTGTGCCCCCTACTGTGCCAACCTGCTGTGCTTTAGCCACCCGGCACTCCGCTCGTTGTTGTGAGCGTCGCTCCTCCGCCCTCCGTTGTTGTTGGAGGGCGACTACCTCCAACTGCCCAGTAGCGTCCTTCACGAGCCTCCTCCACAGAGGCCGATCTTGACACCGCTGGTACCAGTCATCGGCAAGTCCACTCAGCTCCACGTCTTCCTGTACCACGTCACTCCATCTCTTCTCTAGCCCGTGCCGCGCCCGTTTAGCCCCCTCGATCCGGCCAAACAAAAGCTGTTTCGGCATGCGGTGGCTGGGCATGCGGGCTACATGACCCAGCCAACGCAGCCTTGCCTGCCGGAGGAGCTCACCGATGGGACCGTGCCCAGATCTTTCAAGGATTTGTGAGCTCCTCACACAATCCAGCCTGGTTAAACCCAGGATGGATCGTAGGCAGGCCAGCCTAAATGTTTCTAACCGGCGAAGATGTTCCATTAGGGGGGTCCACGTTTCACAAGCGTAGAGAAGGGAGGGAATGACCATGGCCGAGAAGACCGAGATAGACACACACAGACAGACAGACATATAGATACACATATAGATACACATATAGATACACACACAGACACACACAGACACATAGATACATACATACACAATAACACATAGATACACGCACAGACAGACACAGACAGACAAAGATCCCCCGTGTAGCCTTAACAGACTGTTGGGAGAAGTGCTGTAAGCGAGCACCTGTGAAGGCCAGAACAGTACACGAGGGGGAAGCCAACACCACGCCCGGCTGTCTTTGTCTCCCGAGCAGCGATGTTGATATACCGCATTGTCTTTGAGACTGCTTGGCCTCCTCCAGAGACAGCCTTCTTTAAGGCCTTGTCTCACCAAACGACATATCTCGGACCGCATCCGCGAACATAAAGCAGACTTGAAACACGGTAGGACGAACTCCTCTGCCGTGGCAGATCACTGTTATAATTCAGTGGGCTCGCATGACATTGACTTCTCCAAGACGGAGGTTCTCTGCAAACCAACCGGCTACCATGAGAGATTCGTTCATGAGGCCATTCACATATACAAGCACAGAGACAATTTCAACCGAGAAGATGGATTCTGGCTTAGTAACCATTGGAAAGATGTTTTAAACCATTTCTGTTCTTAATTAATTGTATTTTACGATGACCTTCAGACCGCAGCTCTTTCGCCAGCATTGACTTTTAATACCTCTCACACCACGGTTAATGGTATGGTTTACAACATGGAGTATAATAGCGCCTCGCAGCTGTCTCTCTCCCCCTCCTCTGTTCCGACCATGGATGAACTCGTCCATCTGAACGGGGCCCGTAGCTATCCGTGGTGCTAAAATTGAGGGTAAGAATCCACCCATTTTTTCGCCATATAGCATTGTGATATATAACGACTTATTGTTGGTAGCTTAGCTGATTGGAGAATATAGAGTTTATTGATAACATTAAGGTAATTTATATTTTAGTTTTTTATTGGTTCACTATATAGTACTGTGAATAGCTCAGATGTGTAGGCCTTGACTTCAACATAGTCATTTCTGTGACCAGTCACTAGCTAATCACTCAGTTATTTCAATGCTAAATTCGCCTAGTTATTTCAATGCTAAATTCTCCTGTTTGATTTGTACTAAGTGCCTCGGTGAATGTGTATGCTCTGACTTTAACGTAGCTATTTCTGTGACCAGTTACAAGCTAATCACTCAGCTATTTCAATGCTAAATTCGATGCTAATTCCTTTGTAAAGGGGTGCCTCTGCGGATGTGTATGCTTTAACTTAGCTATTTCAATGCTAAATTCTATGCTAATTCCTTTATCAAGGGGTGCCTCTGCGGATGTGTATGCTTTAACTTTTAACATAGCTATTTCTGTGACCAGTCACAAGCTAATCACTCAGCCATTTCAATGCTAAATTATATGCTAATTCCTTTGTCAAGGCGCTTTGTTTCCTCTCACACAGCTTAAAGGTCGTGATCTGAACGTGGCTCTTTCACTCCAGCGCTGTCCTACCAGACAGTCTCGTCCCTTCACCTGATGAAGGCCGCTTGCATTGTGGCTGAAACGTTGTGAGAATATTATTGTGTTATTTTATTTTATCAATTTATTATTTTATTCTCATTCTACGTGACTTTACCGAAAGAACCAAAGAAGATCACCACCAGTGTTCGACCAAGACACATGGAGATACATAGAGATAAATAGAGATACATAGAGCTACAATAGAGATACAGAGCTACATAGAGATACACAAAGATACGTAGAGCTACGTAGAGACACGTAGAGCTACGTAGAGATACATAGAGATACATAGAGCTACATACAGCTATAAAGAGCTACATAGAGATACATAGATACATAGAGATACATAGAGATACGTAGAGATACATAGAGCTACAATAGAGATGCATAGAGATACATAGAGCTACAATAGAGATACATAGAGCTACAATAGAGATACATAGAGCTACAATAGAGATACATAGAGCTACAATAGAGATACATAGAGATACATAGAGCTACATAGAGCTACAATAGAGATACATAGAGATACAGAGAGCTACATAGAGATACATAGAGCTACAACAGAGACCCATGGAGACCCATAGATATGCCGTGCCCCTACTGGACAATGTGTGACAAAGAGCTTCACAGCTCATTAGATTCCCCCTCCACCTCCTCCTCCTATTCCCCCTCCACCTCCTCCCCCTCCTCTTCCTCCTGCTAGCAGTCTAAACGCCGCAGATTCTGGCACGTCCCAGCGTCGAGTTCTGCTTGCCGGGTTTCTTTTCCATCTCGGCCACCGCCACCGCTTTCCCGTCAAGGCTCCCCCCTCCCCCCACCCCGCCAGGGTGGGCGACACTTCCCCATTGAGCTTCCTCCAGACGAACCCCCAGAGCAGACGACGACCCCCCGAGTTCGCAATGCGCGTCACCTCGAGGGATGCTCTGGGGAATCAAGCGGTGTGCGTGACGGCCCACGTGCTGCTGATGAGACACTGAATGTCGAAACCGGTCACTGCCTTATCATGAAGAAAACCGGTCATTGCCCTAGAAACCTTTGGGCAGTTCACCAGCATTGGTTCAGGCAGAGACTGGCTCAACTGCTGATGATACACGGACTGTAACATCCATCGTATAATAATTATTATATATTGTTATTACGGTTACCAGCAGTATTAGCCAGGGTGGCCTGCCAGATCTGTACCGCGAACCTCTGCAACACAAAGGAAGCCGTCTTGCTCAGGTGTAGGCCGATCAGATCCAAGGACAATGCGTGCGTCATTATCAAAGCGTGTTTGTGTGGTATTGTCCTGGTACTGTCCGCCGGTTGGCGTTGTTCTCTGGTCTACCACCGGTGGGGGAGACGAGGCCATAACGGAGGAGGCTGTAGCTCTCGTCTCGACCAATCATTTCCAATGGCAATGCATAACATTATTATCAAGGCGCGTGTTTGTCGGCGTGCTTTACCACAGGAAAGATGCGTGGTTCATGCAGACTACTTGACGTTGACGCTTCGTAGTGATAATCGCTGTCTATTTGGTCTTTGGACATCTTAACGCCTCCTTGCAGTGTTGTTCTTGGCTGGAAAGGCTAAAGCCATTTACATTATGAGACCTCCTTTGCCAGAAACAAGATATAGGAATAGGTTTTACCCTTTTAACTGGCACAAAAACTGACACCTTTATTATACAAGGCATCATGTTTGCTCTGATGGTGTGCTGTTTTTGAGTTGTACGCCTTTTGGCGTCTTCTGGTCCAACAAGAAAAGCTGTCTCGGGTGTGGACCAATCAAATTCAAGGACAGTGCATATTATCAGAGTTGTCTTTTTTGTTTGCATTCTGACTGCTTGTGTTGTGGTTTTTGCAAACATGATGCCTTGAATAAAGGTGTCAGTTTTTGTGCCAGTTAAAAGGGTTAAACCTATTCCTAAGGCTAAAGCCAATTCGGTTTTTTTCAAGAATCAACACTGGCAACGCGTCACCACCCCAAAAATGAATGCAGACGTTAGTGATGCTGATGATGGTGGTGTTGATGATGATGGCGATGGTGTTGATAAGGATGTTGATAATAAATATGTTCATGACGGTATTTATGCTAATTATGTTAATGATGGTGATGATGATGTGAATGATGATGTTAATAATGGTTTTGATGATGATGTTGTGGATTATGTGAATGCTCATGATGATGGTGATGATGTTGTTAATGATCATGTTAATGATGGTGTTGATGATGTTGATGCTAATTATGCTTATGATGGTAATGTTAATTGATGTTTATGATGATGGTGTTAATGACTGTGTTGATGAGAATGTTGATGGTGTTAATGATGGTGTTTATAATGTTAGCAATGTCAATGATGGTGTTGATGATGGTGTGGATGGTGGTAGCATTTACAACACCGCTCACAACAACAACGACGCTGTCACCTGGCTTCTGGGCGGGACGCCCAGCGCACTGCTGGGCTGCGATTGGCTGCGCAGACGATGTGGGTGGAGCCTCTGCTCCGCCCCGTACAATTGGTCGAGTGAGTGGGCGTGGCCCGGGGAGGGGGCGTGGCCACCCTTTGAGGGGGCATGGCTCCGGGCAGGGACCGGGAAAATGGCCGATGTGCTCTTGGAGATGGCGCCGGACCTGGGATGAGAGGAGCCTCCCGATTGGCCGGCGTTGGCGGAGTAGGCCGGGCTTGGAGATTTCGATTGGTCGGCGGGTTTGGTGCCATCTGTGTGACAAACACAGACAATTTATGACACACTGCGTACTAGCTAAACTGTTAAACAATTTTTATTTTCTTTGGTTCTTTCGGGTAAGATCCATTGAGCTATGTAGCTCTTTTTTACAAGCGACTTGGCTATCACAAATGAACGCTCAAAAAAATGTATAGCGTGATGTTGATTCTCAATGTTGGGGGGGAAATTGGAGAACATGCAAACTCCAAATATACAGCAGACATCATTAGGGTCGGGATCGAAACCACAATCTCCTTCATACGATGCGCGGGGTATAACATCTCATCGCAACCATAGCACCCCAGACACACAAGAGACACACAGAGAGACACAAATAGAACACACAAACTATAAATATATACCCATTCACTAACTCACCCACTCCTTCACTAACTCACCTACCCATTTACTAGTTCATTCACACACTCATTCACTAACTCAATCACCCACTCATTCACCCACTCATTCACCAACTCACTCACTGACACATTCGCTCACTCACTCAATCGCTCCCTCACTCACCTACTCACTGACCAACTCACTAACCCAATCACCCACCCATTGATTAACCCACTCACTCACCCACTAACTCACCCACTAACTCTAATTCCTCCAAACCACGCTGATCATGAATATTTTTCCTTTTAAGGCTATTGTGTTTTTGGCGATTCTCTTTACCTCCGTGTGTAACTACGGGCCACCACCAGTGATAGCAATTATCTGAACCGATCCTGGCCCTACTCTAGGTCGAATCAGCCTCAAATGAGTACACGTGGTGCGTAGTAAACATCGCCACTGGGGATACAAAGGCGGCCAGGCGGGAATGGTGCTGGCCACCCACTGTCTCGTGTGCCACAGTGCCGGCCTTCATCGGCCCTGCTGCTACTCGCCGCTAAAAATACTTGCTACACGGGGGGGGGGGGGGGGGGACTTTGTATTTATCTGTGCGTGTGTGAGAAAGAGACTGTGGGTAATATATAGGAGATTGCAAATCACGTTTCCAGGAATCCGAGTCTGCACTTCAAGGAAATGCCATGCGGTGGTTAGTGGTGAAATATTCTCTGCGTGTGGCTTCACAATAACGTGGCCCACGTGGTCGGTGTTGCTGATGTTCAAATAGTAGATACCTTTTGCAAGGCTTCAAGTACTGCATGAATCACACGTACTTGTGGCAAAACATGCACACAAACATGCTCCGATATTACATGCATCGTCCTAAACATGCAAACAAATATGCTATCATCAGAGCATGTTTTGTTTGCATATTTTTTCCACAAGAGTATGCGTCGTTAATGCAGACGAAGGTCTCTATTTGGTGTTTGAATATCTTAACACAATTCATGTGTTATTGCCAGAAAGTGTAAACACTTATTTTTATTTTTCATCATACTGTTCAGTTGTTGGTTTTACCCAGGAGAGACATCGCTGAGTCTCTCTGGTGGATCCTGTCAACTTTCTGTACTACTGGGTGTGTTTATTCCTACTGCTGTTGCTGCTTCTGCTGTTTGATGCCAATTGAGTGATTTGCGGGAAATTTTTCAGCATTGGGGTGATTTGGCCACAATACCAGTTCCACTGTGGGTGTGGGTTTAGCTACGGGAGGAAACCCATGCAGAACAGGGGGAGGTCATATAAACTCGACTCACTCTGCAGAACAGGGGGAGATCATATTTACGCAAGTATATCAAGAACGCAAGAACATTTTTCACAAGTATAGCCGAGTGATCGGGGACCTAAACTCCCATCACACAGCTTGTGGGATATGATGCCAAATACAATGAAGGCAACCCCCTAAGAGGGACAATTGGCAGAGTCCAGTAACCTGACGCTGGCGTATGATGCAAAACAACCCCCCAAGTCAGCAGCAGCCGCTGGAGAAGGGGATACAACCCAGGCCTCGGTTTTTTGCAAGCAATGAAATTATCCACGTGCCAGAAAGTAGTACGAGAGCCCATACCGAACACCAACACTGCCTTATAAATATCAAACTAGGGTCACTAATAGCAGTGCAAAACACTCCATTTCGCAGACGATTTAACCTGAAGAAAGCCAATTGGATACCCTTCAACAGAGGCAGTGGAGGAAATAAATGTGGGACATCACACACCCACCCATGAGAACAACAACAGTTTCACGAGGGTTGTAAAAAATAGTGCCTGCCGCTCCATCCCAAGGGGGTGCCGCACAAGAAACATCCCCCGCATGTCAAGCACAACAATCTGAGCTGTACGCTCACCATGAGGAAGAATACCATCTTGACCCTCTTCTCAGAATCCACGACTGGGAGAAAACCTAATCAACAACATAGGAGCGACACAATGCCTGGAGAGAGATGATCGTGAACACCAATCTGACTACACACAACAGCAAGAAAGCTTGAGGATGACCAGAATCAAACAAGAGGTGACAACATCGCACCTCCAGCTGTGTCAAATGTGACTGCTAAACCAGGTTGCACAACCAAATCCACAACAATGGGAATCGGTTGCAAACAAGAAACACTGGAGAACACCAACGCTGTATTATACCGCCTGACAAGCAACCACCCAAAGACTTAACCCGCCCATTCACTATGGAGGATCTGACAGCTGGTATAGGCCTTCTTGAACATGGTAAGGCAGCAGGAAGTGGACGACATGCTTGTTGAAATGATACAACACCTCAGACCCATTCGCAACGCAATGACCTCCTTGACCTATTCAATACGTGTATGATGAGTAAACAGATACCATCAGTATGGAGGGAAGGCAAGAGTCATAGCTCTGCCAAAACCAGGGAAAGATCTTCCAGCACCAAAAAAGCTACAGACCGATCTCCCTCCTTTAGCATCACCTACAAACTCTACGAATATCTTATCCTACACCCCTGGTAGATCTCAAACTCATACGAGACTAAGGGGGCTTCAGACCCGGCCGATCCTACGCAGGCCCAACTACTAAATCCTCACACAGCACATCAAAGATGGCTTCTAACAGAAGTTGATCCACGGGTCCAGCGTTTGTTGAGCTATCTGCTGCATACGACACTATCCAACACCACATCTTGATCCAAAAACTGTACCTCATAACTGGCGACCTAGATCTTCGCCAGACCATCTGTAGCCTCACTAGAGAACGGATGCCTCTATATAGAACTAAACGGGCAGAAAAGTAGATTGTGTTTCCAAAAGAATGGCTTACCACAAGGCAGTGTGCTGGCCTCACTTTTATTCAATATCTACACCAATGATCAGCCGCTTGCTGCTGAATGTCAGCGGTTCGCCTATGCTGATGATCTCTGTATCGCCACACAGCAGAGACATTTCGAGGATACAGAGAAGAAGATCCTGGAGAAGGCACTGGACGAGATGTCAAGATATTACCTAAATAATGACCTCAAAGCCAACCCGGGTAAAACTCAAATCTGTGCTCTGCACCTGTGAAACCAGGATGCAGAGCGACACCTGAATATCACCTGGGGAGACCAGAGCCTCAAACACCAGTCACCCGGTGTACCTCGGGGTAACACTGGATCATATACTCAGCTGCAAAACGCATACTTTAAATACTAAAGCCAAGGTCAACACACAAAACAACATTCTGTGAAAGCTCACAAATTCAAAGTGGGGAGAGCACATCCATCCACTCTATGCACCACACCGCCCTAGCACTTTGTTTCTCTGTGGCTGAATATGCATGCTCTACCTGGGGATGCTCAACCCACAGTAAAAATGTCAACACCGCTCCTATATTATATATGCAGAATCATAACAGGGCGCCTTGAAAGCCATCCCTCTTCCCTGCTTATATTGTACTATCTGGCACAGTGCCCCCCCCCCCCCCCCCAACATAAGGAGGAGAGTGGCAAGAGACCACGATCGGCAAGTCCTAGGGTGGGGGCGTCTGCCATCCTCAACATGGCCATCAGCCAGCACCACCATGGTCGTCTCTGATTGAGAAATAACTTATACTGGTAGGAACGAAGTTGTAAACTGAGTGTACCAGCCTGCAATAGATTAATGTGTCTGTCCGTCCGTCCATCCCCTTTCAATACTTTATTTCAATTAAAAAAAATAACGTCTATAGCAAACGCAAAATTCCAATGTTCCTACCAGCCCACCCTGCAGGGACCTGTTTGTGCGCTCCACTGTGTAACCACTGACACTACATCATCAGGATCTTCCAGAAGCTTCCATCTGGCAAAAAGAATGGGGGAAAAAAATCAGGCCACAAACCTGCTGAATAGATCTGACAAGGAATCACCCCCCCAGTGAGGAACTCGCATCTGGCTCCACTTGCAAACGGCTCATATTGGCGGAGCCGAAACAGACAGAGTGGGATTCGGCAGATCCAACTCTCATGAAATCATGGGGGGACTTCTACACAACAATCGACCAATGTGTGCTTAAATCTTGACTTAAAGCTTTCGTGACTGCAGGAATTCATATTCTTTGGGTCTTTCGGTAAAGTCACCACGTAGATAGGTTACTTTTTTTTTTTACAAAAAACGACGACGTTTCGATCGCCACGCAAGCGATCGTCATCAGGTGGAGAAAAATTGGGGTAAACCTCTAAAGGCAAACTGTTTATAAAGGTTTAAAATGGGCGTAGCCCAAGTGTCAGAACGGAGTGGGGGGTACAAGAGCCCTGGGACGGCATGAGCGGAGAAGGTGATGTTAATGTGAGGTTCAGGACACATCACTGCAGACGTGCCAAGATCAGACATCACTGCAATCCTTAAAAATGCTAAGACACCTATCAGCAACATCAGTAAGGATGAGCGTTTTGAGCTATCTCAATTAAAAAAGAAGCTTGATATTGTCATCCTCTTAGCCGACAAGGGCAATGCCACGGTTATCATGGACAAAACCACATACAATAACTAAATTCAGGACCTACTTAATGATGGTAGCTATACACAGATTAAAAGAGATCCCACCAATAGCCTCATTACCAAAACCAACAGTATCATCACTGATTCAACTTCATTAATCGAACAAACCAAGCAATTTTCC